CCCCGGGCCAGGGGAACAGCCGCTACTGCCAGCAACAGCCAGGAGCACGGTTCCATTAGCACATGAGTCATGACCTATTATGACCTGTGCGGCACTGTAAGAAAAGGAAGAAAACTAATTTTTAAGACTTAAAAAAAAAATGGCAACGTCACATTTCCCAAGATGGGAAAGAGGCCGATTTTGAAAGTGCTGCCGTCCGACTAACCCTCCCGACTCCTCCCCCTCCTCCCCATCCAGCCAATGCCTAATCAGGACAGAGTGGTACGTGACTTTTGTAGTCTCGCGTACCACCGTGAGGGAGTCCCTTCGTGTGCCTGATGGGACTCCCTTCTCTGACGGTTACCATGCTGAAGCCTGCAGTTCGTATATTTTGAGAGAAAAATCCAGTACTCGATGGGGTTGAGATTGACCGGGGAAAAGAAGGAGGTCAAACACATGCCCTTCGAGTACTTGATTTTTTTAATCATTTGAAGAGCTGCCAATCGAAATGAGTCTTTCTATTCTCTTTTCCCGCCTCCCATTCTCGGGAACTGAAAAGAAAAAGCACCCCCCCCCCAAAAAAAAACACCACTTCAGAATATAAATCCATGGCAATTTCGCTGCCATTGGATTCTCCTGCATCAGTGGTCGGAGGACGTCCCGCAGATGTCCCGCAGGTGTTTGTGGGACACAGTTTACCTTACTCCTTTGCTAGTGGAAGGAACCGTGCTCCAGAAGGGCATACATCTTCCAGACTTACCTGCTCTCTCTCTCTCTCTCACACACACACACACACAAAAAAAAAAAAAAAAAAAAAAAAAAAAAAAAAAAAAAAAAAAAAAAAAAAAAAAAAAGAAAAGTGAAAAAAAAAAAAAAAGAAAGAAAAGAAAAAGACAAGTAAAAAAAAAAGTGCCCCGGTAGCACCCCTATCAGGGCCAGGGAAACAGCCTCTACTGCCAGCAACGGCCAGAAGGGCATACCGAAAAGATGCACGGTACGGGTAGGGGCATATGGGAAATTCTTGTGCCTGTACTGAACGGCTATCCGGTAGGAGCAAATTGAATTTTGGCACCGTACGGGTAGGGGCATATTGAAAATGTCTGAGGCCCAAAGGAAGCCAGTTTTTTTTTGGAAACATCAATCACTGTCAGAGGGGCAAAACACGGTAAGTCAGCCATCGGAGGGGCAACTTCCAAATAGATGCAAACTTTAGGGCCATTTCAAAATCTTCGCTTCTTTTTTTATATGTTGGGAACCGGGCCCAGCGTCCCTCACAAAGGTGCCCCACTTCTCGAGGTGAGCAAGGCTCTCCGGCCAAGCAGAGCCTGGACCACTGTAATCCAAGTCAACGAAAGCACGAAACCCAACTGAGCATTTCGCTACGACTTTCTTTTTTTTTTTTTTTTTTTTTTTTTTTTTTTTTTTTTTTTTTTTTTTTTGAAGTCCAGGGTGTTGTAGAGGCCAGTTACTAGGCTCACATTGATCGCCGGAAGCTATCAGCCATGGTTTTCATTCTTATTGCGGACGTTATTACCATCAGTCTGGCTGCTACGGGACTCCCCGTAGGACTATAATTAGGAGTAGTGGTAGGTAGGTAGTGTGAGGTGAAAATTTCTCGATTTATGCGTGTCATCCTTGCGCAGGGGCCATGCTAATCTTCTGTGTATCGTTCCAATTTTAACGGATGTCCCGAAGGACAGTGTGAGGTGAAATTGAGAGAAGGTGGCGGCACTCTCTCTATTGTGGTTTCCCCTGTCTATAAGGAGACTGGGAGATGAGGCTTACTCCCAAATTAAGAGGGCGGCGTCCAAATATTTATGGAAACCAAGTGCCAAAGAAGGAGAAGGACATATGGTGAAAGTTGCTTGGGATACAATCACTCAGGCCCGTTCAGATGGCGGCCTGGGGATCTTAGACCCACGTCAACAAAACCCCCTTCTGGCTAAATGGCGAGTGAAGGGGATGATGGACAATAATTCAAAGCTTTGGATACAATTGGCAGAATACATTCTGAGCCAGGAATGGAACCTGGCAGTTCCTAACCAGGTTTGGACGTGTATGCTGATTCCATCCTTTGCGAGCAAGAGACCGAGTTCGAAGTTATGGAAGGACATCCTGGCGGCCTGGAGTAAAGTGCAACCTCAAGTCTTCAACAGCCCTACTACCAAGCTGGAGATAGCGAACCAGGTTCTGTTTGAGAATCCTCAGATCTTACAACCGAACAAGGAACCCTTCCCGGCCAGGGAAGGAGTAGGGAACTTTGGTAAGAAATGGATTGAGAAGGGAATCCTTCAAATAAAGCATATTTGGGATCAAGAAAAGGAGGACTGGATCTCTGAGGGCACGCTTAACAAGCTATTTCCTAGATCACCGCAGGCATTCCAACATTTGCAGGCACTGACAGAGGCTATTCCATCTTCCTGGATCAATCAGCTGAAGACTCAGGTGGAGTATACTGCAGGCACCTGGGTTTACTCTGAGGACTCAAGAGGACGGATTTGGAAGATACTGGGTCCAGATCTGGTGTCCGGAATCAGAGTGGAGGAATGGTTTGTCGGGGTGGAACTGACGAAGGGTGCAGAATTCTTGATCCCTTCATCGATAGCCCTGGAGGAAGCCAGAGTATACAGTACAGAATCAGGGAGACAAGCCAAGCTCCTAGGGTCGGCTACACAGTTTCACACGGAACCTTTGGCCCGTTCATGGAAAGTATCCCACCCTGGAGTGCAGAAAACAGACGACATACCATTAGTTCTGTACAAACCAAGAACGGGAATGAGAGCTCTGAGGGACTCAGCCTCCAAAAAGCCGACAGATGTGGCTTCTAAGAGGTTGATGGTTGCTAACAATGGGATGGCAGGCCATCCTGATTGGAAAGCCTTCTGGGAAGGGCTAAAGAGATTGCCATCTCAAAAGGACGCCGGTCTGTAGTGGCTGCAATCCTTGATGGGGGTACCTACGGCAGCTTGGCTTCACAAAAAGGGAATGGACATCAACCTCACATGTAGCCGATGCAACTGGGGCTGGGAGTCCAATGCCCATCTATGGACATGCTGCCCTCTGTCAGATGAGATCTGGCTTTGGTGGATTACCTTCTGGACTGAAATCACGGACTCAACGTGGACATGGTCGGATAACTGGATCCTATATGGGATTCTGCCAAACCACGAGGCCCAGTACAAGAAAGGTTGGGGCTATGTGGCTCTGGTGTGTAGGGGAGTAATTCTTCAGGAAATACGGAGAACTCGAAATGCACAGGTATTCAGCCAGGAGAAAATTTCGCTGCAGGAGCAGCAAAACATAATCAAGAGAAACATCCGACTGAGTATGCAGGCGGATTGGCAGGGCTGTCGTAAGGGTGGGAAGAAAAGCCTTCGGTGGTTCCAGCTAACATGGGTTCAAGGAAACAAGTTGGCAACAATCACACGAGACCGTAAACTGCAAATCTCCCAGTGGCTTAAACCTCCTTGAGAAATAGACCGATATAATTGCTTCAGAAGAGAGGATAGGAGATGAAATAAGGGTCTCTGTGTGCCATAATGTGGGAGGAGGTAGTGGCCGCTTTTAGGCCACAATTTTCAGCACAAGGAAGGTGGTTTCTGGGTGGGGACTGGATTCCAGGCAAAATGGGCAGTCAGCTACTCAGGGCTGCGGTCTTCAGATTGGATCTTTTGAACTCAATGGGAGTTTGACATAAGTAATCAAGCCTGCAAAAGCAGCCCTTTTAAATGAGCTTTTAAGTTTAATTTTGGAAAGTTAGAGGTTTGCAGGGACGCTGGACCCGATTTCCAGCAGGTGAATTTATAAGCTAAACTGGCTGAGGCTGCTAGGATAACTCCGGGTCGAATTGTGAGGTCCCCGGCCTCGTCCCTTCAATTTTTGCAATATATTGACACAGGATAACTCCGGGTCGAATTGTGAGGTCCCCGGCCTCGTCCCTTCAATTTTTGCAATATATTGACAACTTTCCAAAAAAAAAAGAAAAAAAAAAAAGAAAAAGAAATTGAGAGAAGAATGTAGCTTGCTAAAAAAAAAGAAAAAAGAAAAAAAAAGATGGCCCCTGCGCAAGGGTGAAATTTACGAGCTGCATCCACGTGTGATTACGCCATGCGGTCAGGTGCATCCAGGGCGGTCCGCGCGTGAGTACGACCCCTCTCTTTTTTTCTTTTTTTTTTCTTTTTTTTTTCCCTTCACTACGGCCCCTCTCTGGACACCTACTTGCTTGAAGCGGCGTAGGTGGCCTGCCGGCGTCTGCGGTAGAGAGGAGGGGAAAAACCGAACTGGGTTTGATTACGAGATCGACGGAGTTGTGTCGCCGCGTCGTTCCCCGCAGGCAGTCAATCCAACCTGCTGCCGCCGGTCAATCCACCTTGACGGCGGGCTACCAAGGGGTAGAGGGCGGGAGCGACTACCGTATTATGTATGACATGCGCCATCTTCAATTGCCGTTGCCGACCTGGTACCCAAGGGAGGGAGGAAGGGGGGAAGCGGCGGGAGGTGGAGGAAGAGAGTCGACCGGGGAGGTGGGCGCGAAGCGCTACCCTGTGCGCATTTTGAACGTGGAAGAAGGCGGCCGTAATTTTGGAGTGATCGACACGCGGATGATACCGAGCACCGTTCGATTTCCCCGCGAGCAGAGCACCTGGGAGGCGCGGGTTTCAGCGCGCTGAGCTCCGCCGGGTAGAAGGGTCGATGTCGTTTTTCATTTTGATTTCGAGCATCTGGAAGGCGGGAGAAAAAGCGCAGGTGCGGGTTTCAGCGCGCTGAGCTCCGGGAGAAGGGTCGATGGCGTTTTTCATTTTGATTTCGAGCATTTGGAAGGCGGGAGAAAAACGCATATGTGTCTTAACTGGCGGCCGCGCGTGGGAAAAAGGCGCGGCCAGAACCGGTAGTGGTAAGTGATTATGTCTCAACGCCAAGCTGCCGGTAGCGGAAGCGCGCGCGATGTCCATTCCCGAGATCGGTGGTGAGTCATGCAACTACGGTAGGCCCGTCATCGTGTGCGTGTAAGCGCGCGGAGGATCTGTTGTGTTGGCATAGCCGTTTGGACAACTAAGGGGAGAAGCGAAAGTGCAAGGATCCGACGTAGGCAAGTGTGTGTGTCCCCATAAGCCAGAAAAATAGGTTTTGTGGGGTAGGAAGTGTGAAGGGGCTGCAGGTAGGTACAGGGACATTCTCTCTGCGAGTGTGCGGGTGTGGGCGCTCTTCTCTGCAAGGGATGGGGTGCGGACTGTACAGCAAGCCGGCCACCATAGAAGATCGTGGCAATCCACCACGTCCTGGACAAGTGGCTGGTGTAGATGGAGGACGGCCAAGCGAAAAGATGTCTAGCGGAGGAGGGAGGGAAAAGATGTCTAGCGGAGGAGGGAGGGAAAAGATGTGTAGCGGAGGAGGAGGGTCCAACATAGTGTCGAACGCATGTGCAAGTAATGGTATCTCTGTGGGTTCGTCGAATTCCTCCTCGACTACCGGTAAGAAACTGACGGAGAAAGAAGGGCTGCAAGTTAATGCGGTCCTGTCGATGACGGCAGTGAGGGAGATGCGCGCGCAGGAAATTGAGAAGATGACAGGCCAGTTCTGCGAGTTGTTAGGGCGGGGTGGGTTCGGCAGTGTGTACAAGGGGGTGATCAAAGGGTCCAATTGCACGCGATGGGTGGCGGTCAAAGTGTTGTCGTCAAACTCGAGGCAAGGGATTCGAGAGCTGGTGAAAGAGATCCAGATACTTCCTAATCTGCATCATCGACACCTGGTGTCGTTGATAGGTTATTGCAACGAGGCCACGTGTCAGGCGCTGGTGTACGAGTACATACCGAACGGAACGCTTAACGATCATCTGCACTGCCGCGGCGGGTTGGCGCCCTTGACGTGGAGACAAAGACTGGCGATTGCCCTAGACGTAGCGCGGGCTCTCAGCTACCTTCATCTTCACGTCTCCCCAGCTATCGTCCATCGAGACATCAAGCCTTCAAACGTGTTGTTGGACAACAAAATGCATGCGAAGCTGGCCGATTTCGGATTGTCGAAGATGTTTGCTGACGACGAGTTTACCCACCTCACCACGGACATCAAGGGGACGGCGGGATACTTGGATCCCGAGTACTATACAACTCAGCGTTTGTCCGAGAAGACGGACATTTACAGCTTTGGGGTGCTCTTGATGGAGTTGATCAGCGGCAAGCCTCCGCTGGGAATAACTGCACAAAGGCAGCGGTTTGACCTTGTGAAGTGGGCCAGAGTGCAACTGGGGAAAGGAAACGTAGAGAGGGTATTAGACAAGAAGGTAGCGGAAGGGACTTACAGCGTAGAGGCGCTGTGGAGATTAGCGGATGGGGCGATGCTATGCTGCGAGCCGTACTCGGCCAATCGTCCGGGGATTGGCGAGATAACAAGGAAGATCCAAGAAGCAATAGACTTGCAAAATCTGAGTGACAACGGTCAGTCGACGCAAGGGGTACCTCGGCAGATGATGCGGGCGGCCCCCGAGCTACATGGGAGTGGGGAACGTCCACGTAGCGCTGATGTGCAGGAAGAAGGGAGAGAGGCGGAGGGAGGAGGAGGAGGAAGGCGAGAGGAAAGAGCACCTTTCTGTCCCCCTTTTTCACCGCACGGAGGGCCATCTTTACCAGTACAGTTTCCGACGCATCAAGGACCATATGGAGGAGTAGCAGCAGGAGGAAGAGACCGAGGACCGTATAATAATTATAATCATCCACGTGGAAGAGAAGGCGGCGGCCAAAGACCATATGAATATAACTCTGCCTACACATGATGGACATGGAAGACGAGGAAACTATTCACATGATGGACATGGAGGATGAGGAAACGATTCACATGATGGACATGGAGGAGGAGGAGGATAAGGAAATCCTGGTTTGGCTCCTTCTCCGTCCCCGGCACGGTATCCTCCGCAGCTACTGGTAGGGCCGCTTCCGCCAGGTCAGTACTTTGCCGCGCCCTGACAACCATATCGTTACGATTATGTCGAGGCAAGAGGTGGAGGAGGAGGCGGGAGAGATGGTGGTGGAGTATCTCCTCCTCGTCCTAAGCCGGCTGCACAGTCTGTTCATACGTATCGGTATCTCTTCTACACTGGACCTTCTCCTTAGTCTAATCCTTTGCAGCAATCTGAAGAAGAGCGACCACCTCCTCCTCCTCTCCCTCCTCCAGCTTCAGCTGCTCCTGCCTACTCTCACCAGCCACCTCCGTCGAATTCTGACCTCCCTCTCCCGCCTTCCCTTCGCCCAGTTTATAGCTGAGCACGGCTGTGTATTTATGTTGCCTTAGCCGATGCGATTACACGGCCAAGGATAGACACCCAAGGACGAGGAGGAGGAGAGGAGAGAGTAATCGTATTAGTGTTAGCAGTACGACGAGTAGGAGAGAGGTGGTCGAGGGCGAGTAGAGACGGAGGGGAAAGGAGAACCCAAACGTTCAGGGGAGCAAAATGATGATAATGATGATGACGATGATGAGAATGGTGATGATGAGGAGGAGGAAGAAGAGGAGATTTAGGAGGGGATGTCATTCACATCTTCCTGCCTCTCGCTGCGGTCCTCGCGTATTACCGACTCATCGTCTAACACTCCTTTACGTGTTCCATTCTTTTCTTAGTTGGGTTTTGTCTATCTCGGTTACGTGCGACCTTCTATCGTTATGGCCGTACCGTATTTCTTCCTTTCTGTTTCATTCGTAGGGAATACCTTCTTTTTTTTTTTTTTTTTTTTTTGAAACAGGGGACGCCTTTCGATCTGTTCAGCGTTTCTCTATCTTCTCTTCCCCACTTACGGCGCTCTGACCTTCTCTTTTCCTGACACATGCCGTCGTCTCCGTTACTGTCTTCTTTTTCATACTGCTCTTTTCGGCTTCCTACCTCTCCTCCATCTTCTCTCCTCTCCCTTGCTTCCCCCTTCTTCTACCACGTCCCCTTCTTCTACCACGCATCGGTTATCACCTCCTCAAATTTCTCTCTTACCTGAACTCTTCATCTCGTGATTCCGGACGCTGTAGCCTTCAGACGTCCGCGTCTGTGCATGCAGCATTCTCTTTCCCTCCCTCCCTCTCTCCCTCCCTCTCTCCCTCCCTCTCTCCCTCCCTCTCTCTCCCCTCCCCTTTGCTCTGCGCTCCCGCCCTTCGGGTGTGAACGGTCTCCCAACGGGGACTGCTCATCAAATTGTTTATAAAGGAGAATGCGGAGGTAGCACGTTGACTAACAGTTGGTGGAGGTGTAGGGTGTGTGCAGTCGTGTTTTCTTCTCGATTTATTCGTCTCGTCGTTGCGCAGGGGCCATACTAATCTTCTCTGTATCCCTCCAATCCTAACGGATGTCACGAGGACTGCAGTCGTGTTTTTTAATGGGATCCCTTTTCGGGATTTTTTTCCGTCTCTCCCGGGAGCCTCCCGGGAATTGCCCGTGTTTATATTAGATAGGCAACAATTATTGAACGAGTTTATCTATGTACTTACGAGGTGTGCAGTCGTTTTGGGAAATAGCTGACGCGACAGGTAGCGCTCAGCCGAGCTGAGCTAAAAAAAGTCGAGAGTTACTTCAAGAATTCTGGAGGCAGCAGAATTTTCACAATGGTCGATTTTTTGTTGTTGTTGGTAGTTTTGAAATTTTCGGGTGGTGATGAGGGAGGCCGGCAAGGAGGGGGGCCGGGGGGGGAGGGGGATTATCACTCCTGAAGATAATGGAGCTCTTTTTCTTTTCCCTTTTTTCTTTAGTTTTCCTGTTTTCGGGTGGTGTGGAGGGAGGTGTGGGGAGGATGGGGGGACGGAGGTGGGGACCACCATTTTGTTCTTTACGTTTCTGAGTTTTTCCTCTGTAAATTTGGATGTTCCAGAGGGTGTAATATGCGGTGCTGGAAATAGAATTCTCTACCGATGATCGAAATTTTTTGTTTTTCTTCGGCATTTTCAATTTTTTGGTGGTGTGGGCGGAGAGGTAGAGTTCCGCGGGTTGTTCTTACTTTTTCTCTGTGCGTGAGATTTCAGGTCTGAATAGAATTCTCGCGTATAATCGAAATTCTTTGCTTTTTTTGCGTTCATTTTTTGGGTGGTGTGGGCGGAGAGGGAGGAGTGCCGCGGGTTGTTCTTACTTTTCCTCTGTGCGTGAGAGATTTCAGGTCCTTTCTTTTTTTTTTTTTTTTTTTAGAGAGAGATTTCAGGTCTAGAAGTCGGAATTGAATATATTTTAGAGCGTGTAAGGTTGCTGCAGGGGCGGGTTTCCCTCCCATTTCGTTCTGGACACGTGGTTCATGCGCGGGTATGCCATTTTTTAAATCTGCTTTTGTAGGTTAATGTCCTCTTTCAGCTCAAGTTTTAACGAAGTGCTACGAACTAGAACTTCCTCACGCCACTGCTGTTGCGCTTCTGCTGCTGCTGATATAGTAGCTCTGATAATGATGATGATGACGGTACTGGATGATGATAATGATGATGATGGTAGCTGATGATGACGATGATGATGAAGATAATAACGAGGAGGATGTGGTGGCGGGCGCGGAGGGGGGGGGGGATGTGGTACCGTTTGTCATTCGATGACATGCCGGGGGGGGGGGGGGGCGGGCGCCGAGGGAGGGGGATATCTTGAGGAGAGAGATATGGAGCGCAAGGTCTTTAGCGGCGTGTGTTGGCGTGACGGGGTCTGAGTAGTAATTCGCTCGCTCCTCTGGCGATAGTGATGGGCGATCGGAAGACAATTTGGGGGGGGGGGGGGGTTGTTTTACGACGGCCTTTCAATTTGGAACGATGTGGAAAGGTGACACGTGGATCTGCACGCAGGGATGACATGCACAAGTAGAGAAATCGTCGAAGTTGCGCAAAACAGATAAGACCGGGAAGGATTCCCGGTCCGCTTTTTTTCCAATTTTCCTTCGCCCCCCGGCCTAGTACCCCTTCCTTTTTCTCTATGTTTGAGCACGTGATCTTTGTGCAAGGACCGCCGGCGGGGAGGGGATTGGGTGGGCCGCCGGCGGAGAGGGATGGGGAGGGACTGCCGGCGGGAAGGGGATTGGGAGGGACCGCCGGCGGCGAGGGGATTGGGAGGGACCGCCGGCGGGGAGGGGATTGGGTGGGCCGCCGGCGGAGAGGGTTTTTGGGAGGGCCTGCCGGCGGGGAGGGGATTGGGAGGGACCGCCGGCGGGAAGGGGGTTGGGGTTGGGAGGGAGTGAGGCGCGGTCTATTTTGGTCACGTGACCCTTGTGCAAGGACCGCCGGTGGGAAGGGGATTGGGAGGGACCGCCGGCGGAGATGAGATTTTGGGAGGGACTGCCGGCGGGGAGGGGATTGGGGGTTTGGGAGGTAGTGAGGCGCGGTCTATCACACGGAGAGCATGGAGTATTTGCTTATGGAATGGCTGCCGCTGACAGGTGGATGGTGTCTTTTACCGAACGCAGCGCCCCCTGTTCATCCACCGGCTAACACTCGCGATGAGGGGCGTTGTGTTAGGGGCAAGCTGGGTGTCCTCTGCCATGAGGTGATAATGGTATGCCTTCAATGATTTAGATATGAGGACGGCGTCCTTGTGGACTGCCATGGCCCAAGTATCATCTCGCTCGGGTAGAGATCCAGATAGTGAAAATGTTTCACTTTTGTCTTGGCGTTCATTGCGATTTGAACTCAGGACTGTATTTCTAGAACTAGTGGAAATGTCTCTTTGTTTTCTACAACAATCCTCAGCGTTTGTCTGCGCCATCCTACACCAACAAAGAAAGTTAACAAAAATACTTGGTGGAATAAGATTGTCTGGGGAGCGCACCAACGACCAGAGCCTGTGGTTGGATGGGACTCGGCGTCAGCCACCTGTCCTGGGACGCAGCACTGTCGAGGGCTTTGGATAGACATCCGGGGAGAACCCGATCGGGCACGGCGCACGACTATCGTAGTCCCTCTACTACTGTGGTTGCAGGGGTATCTGCGCAACTGGGAAGGGTACAGGTGCATTGCACCGGAGCGAATGGATCAAGAATACTAGACAGAGAAACGACCAAGTGCGTAGCGTCGGGGAGTGGAGCGAGAATGGGTCATCCTCGCCGTGGTGGAAAGGAGGGATGGTTGTCGATTCGTTCCATTTATTCAAATTCGTTCACATTTGATTGTGGGAGTAGCGAGTTGGCAGCGTTTTCTCAGTTTGACTAATGTTTCAGGTATGCAGAAGAAGCAAGAAGCTGGTACCGCCTCTGATCTTTTACATATTCCAGGGTCCGAAGGCCGTTGATTTGCCGTATTTGTCAAGGGTAAACCCGTTAGGAAATCGGGGGAAGAGGGGGGGCGGTTGTAGGAGCGAGGAGAAAGGCGTATACGTTGCAGCGCTGGAACACGGATGAATGAGCACTGTATTACCTGATGACCTGTCATATCTAAGACGGTCCTGTCCGGATGGGCTCTGCCGAGATGGATGTGGATGGGGAGGAGGAGGGTGACACAAGGCGGCTGACAAGCCGAGGAACGATGGGGGAGGAGGAACAGGTTTGAGGGTCATCCCAGTCAAGTCAGAGGTAGAGCAAGGCATGCTGGGTGGTGGGGGACCACTTGTGGCACTGGATAAGACCGTCCGTGGGGCAGGATGAAACACAAACTCGCGGAACTAGATGCGGGTCATGGAGTCTACAAGAAGACTAAAGGTTTTTGAGCCGCGTAGAGAACGGCTCGGGGATTGATTCCCTGATTGTGGGTTGAATTGGGAGACCGACCCCATCCCGTGTGGCTGAATGGAAGAACGACTCCCCTTGCCGTGGGGATTGATTCTTTGATTGTGGGTCGAATCGGAAGAACGACCCCAACAAGCAATCCAACCCACGATTACATCCCCCAGCCCGTGTGGCACAGTTACGTTCCCCAGCCCATGTGGCGGCTGAATGGAATGCTACAGACAATCCAACCGGTGATAAACAGTTCATGATTTTGAAAGCTGATGGAATCAGACGAATACCATAATGGTAATAGAGTCGACCTCATGGAGAAGGAAAACAGGGCAGAAGGACAAGCGGTGTGGACCGTCCAAGGGAAGAGCAAACACGCCAGCCACGAAGGGCAAATCAGCGGCGACAACAACAAGAGGAGGAGAGTCTCAGGTGCCAAGGAACTCTCGATCTCAACAGGAGGAACGGGGGGGGGGAAACAGAGGTGTGTGTCGAGAACGGTGGGGKGGGGAGGAGGACGAGCCGAAGGGATTCTGTAAACATAGTATGATAGTACTCAGTGAAATCTTTTTTTTTTTTTCTTTTCTTTTTTAAAGTGAAGCCTCTTTATATATTCGAATAATTCGTGTTTGGTGTTGATGCTGATTGATATTGATACATGTTGATGATGTTCTGATTTCCTACCTGACGTTCTTTCTTCCTTTTCTTGTTGTTTTAATTAGACTACAACCTTCGTCTACTCAACCTTCACACACTCACGCTTCCTTCTGTTTGGCCAAAGGATCCCTGATCCGCATCGAATGGTCAGCGAAGGCAGAGGATTGACTGTCAGCTTGCCTTTCTTTTAAGACTCGACTAGAGAGTCTGCCAAATTTGTCCATCTATTGAGAAGCTAGAATTGTGGATGGGTAGAGTCTGTCAAATTTGTCTGCCTTTTGAGAAGCTAGAATTACTCCTATTTCTTTTTTAAATAATAATAATAATAATAATAATAATAATAATAATAAAAAATTACTCCTATGTGCTTAGAGGATTGACTGTCCACTGGCCTCTCAGAGGATTGACTGTCCACTGGCCTCTCAGAGGATTGACTGTCCACTGGCCTTTCCTCCTCTCAAATAACCTACTAGAGACCAACTGGCCTAGCTCAGTTTGTCTACACCCCTGAAATGTCAACTAGCCTTTCCTCCTCTCAAATAACCTACTAGAGACCAACTGTCCACTGAGAGATGGCCTTTCCTCCTCTCAAATAACCTACTAGAGACCAACTGTCCACTGAGAGCAGATGGATAAAAGTAATGCCAACTAGCCTTTCCTCCTCTCAAACTAACCTACTAGAGACCAACTGGCCTAGCTCAGTTGGTCTACACCCCTAAAATACACCCCTGATGATTAGCAAGCGGACGGGCCGGAGACAGTTCTGGACTGAACTGTCTCGGGCTGGTCAGCTTGATAATGATATTTCAACTTTCAAGGCCGTTGCCCTCTGAAGCAAAAAAAAAAGAGGAAAAAAAAGGACCTGACGTAGAGAGGGCGTACTGACACAATGCATCTCACCATAAACTACGGCCAGAGCTGGATGTGTCTAGCTGCATTTCCATCCAGAAAACAAGTAAAAAGGTCCTAGTGTGAGTGTGGGCAGAGTCTGTCAAATTTGTTTGTTTCTGGAGAAGCACAAATTTTGGATGGAAAAGCTTGAAGACTGATGCGTATATTCTCATCGTCTCTCTTTCTGATCATTGGTTCCTGCCGCTCCCTCTGTGTATTTTCTTGCCTTTTCCAGTTTAGTTTTTTTTTTGCCTTTTTAGCTTTCTTGTAACCCTGTTTTTCTTCCTCTTGTTTGTTGTTTTTTTTTCTGATTTTTTTTTTTGTTGTTGTCCCAGGCTTCTTTTAATTCTGTCTATGTAGTCTGCAGCCCGGGCCCAGGCTCGTTGGGCTAAAGGTATGGTCTTCCTCCTGCTGAGGCACCATCGATGGGTGGGCGCCATGCATGACCTGCAGGCACCTGCAGTGGAACCTTCAATCAGAGGCAGGTCTGAGGATTCTTCAGCCTGGACAGTTGTACTATTATTATTATTAATTTATTATTATTATTATTATTATTATTATTATTATTATATTATTATATTTACGATATATTGTATTACTATCATTATTATTTATTATTATTAGTACTCCTTTGACCCAGCAAAATTGGGGATCTGAAAAAAATAGGTTCATGAAAATGCGGTACCAATATTCTCTACGCTGTTGCATTTTCGCATTCCTCGCCTGAATTTGGATCAAGCGAGAATAGTTTTTCAAATTCGCAGTGAATATTTTTCTAATTGCCGGGCTGCAATTTTCAGATTTGCAACAGAAGTGCCCTATCAACTTCGCCGCCTGAATCCAAAGTCTACTTTCCCCGAGCTCACAGCTTTGCTGTTCGACCCGGCTGCCGACGTGCTTCATGTAGTATCAATGTAGTATCAATGTATGTAGAATCACGCAGCAACCGAGTCCACATGCTGTACATGTGAGCCATGGTGACATCACATGGAGAGTTTGCACTGTAACGCAATAGCCTGCTGAGCCTCTGCCATGTGGCAGTTGCAGGATATGTGCGTCACGAAGACTCACCAAGCTGAACACACAACCGGGCAGTACACGGCGAACACTTGTGTGGACGAACAATCTTGAAACAAGATCTCTCATTGTGGCGAGGCCCTTAGTCAAGTTAGTCTTTTTCCTTTTTAAAGGGGGGGTGGCATCCCGCGGCAGGCAAGTCCACATATGCTGTGTATGTGAGCCCCATCGCAATAGCCTGCTGAGCGGAGTGGAATCGCTCCTGGGCTTCTCAGCTGATTGCGTGTAGTGGCGTCCTTTTGTCCTTGGGGGAGCAGGGAATGCCCAGTGTGTACTGGTTATTCATTAATCGGTGTGGATGTACAGGGTGGTCCTTGGGGTAGGATGGGCTAATAAGGCGTGCGATTTGGAGGTAGAGGTCATCAGCAGCCAGGGAATGTCGCTGGCCATCAGCAGCCAGGGAATGTCCCTGGCCATCAGCAGCCGTATATAATTACCTTGAGTAAGAGGGCTTTTACCTCGACTTTGGGGGTTTATGATCCCCCGTTCCTCGTCCCGCTTCGGCTGTGCAATATACTCCCAAGTCCACACAAAGACGGAAGTGGCGCCTGGGAGTTTGGATAATTGTTTCCTCAGGAATTGGCCAGAAGGCCGTCCAACTCTTCAGGTAGAGTTTTTGTTCCCCTCCTCGCCGTTCCTGACGTCTGGCGTCCCGATTTTCTCCTGGTTGTGAAACTCCCTCCTTTGAAAAGTTGTCTTTATATCCGATGAGAAAAAAAAAAAAAAAAAAAAACATCGAGGCACTGCTTCCAGTTTCCTTCATTCCTTCGCCCCCGACAAGTATTTCGGGCTTTGGATTTCCGCTTTTCCATGCGCCTCCCTTGCTTCGACCGTTCGATTTCTCCTGGCTGAGAAAATCCTTTCGTTTGAAACATTCTTCCCCCGAAAAGGTTCTGCGTCTTTATACCCACTGGAGCATCCAGGTAAATTCTCTGGTTTCCTTCATGCCTTCGTTCCTTGTATCCGACCTTCTGATCTCGTGACATACGTGTTTAGGATTTCCGCTCTCTTCCTTTTTCTCGTTGCATGTGTATGGTGTGTTCGCCACTTGTGTCGTTTAGAATCCTCCGGTGGAAATTCGATGAGCTCGAAACGATTTCACTTTTGCACTTGATTTTGTTTTGTTCGCGAACGTGTCGTTTTAAATCCTCTGATGGAATGTCATGAGGTCCTAAAACAATTGCACTTTCTTTTGTTCCGTACGGTTTGACTGTTGCGTCTCGAAGCTTCGAAAGCTTTTCAAGTGAGGTACCGTCGGCGTCAATAGTTGTTTGATCGGAGCCCGGAGTCACCTTTTGTGATAATTTATATGCGATTATCGGATCGTATCCAGATTCCGATGTCTCGCAGAAAACCTCCAAGATCATAGTGAACCCGAACGAAGATTTTCTGATTTTGTGATTTGGGAATTTTGTTCAGCATATGGTCTTGTTGTTGTTGTTGTTGTTGTTGTTGTTGTTACCTTTCATCGTCATTTGGAATTGGAAATGGCTTTATATATATATATATATTCAGCCTCCTGATGAGTCGGTGAAACTCCGACGAAACAGTTTGTCACAGCCCCTCGTTTGTTGTCCTCTTCTCCATCTCACTCTCTGCCTACGGTTTACCGGGCAGTTCTATTTGTGACGATATATATATATATATTCTATTTGACGATATATATATATATATATATACTGTCACATTGTGAATCAGAGCGCAAAAAAGGGGAAAGAAAAAAGGAAAAGGAAA